TTCGATCGAACTTTAGGCCTACTGGTAAAACTGACTTTCGCGAATCATTCCTAAGGTCAAAGCTCAAGTTTTACGAGGTCTGTGAAGAAATAGAAGCGTTCAACCGCACTCTACAAATGCGATAAAAAAGGCTTCAACGCAAGTAGGCACATGCAAAATTAGCTACTTGAGATGCATAATGTTACCGCTCTCTCAGTATCCACCGGCTTCGTAACTAATACACCACCGATTAGTCTGTAGATTGAACTAACACACGTAATGTAAGGCTTTTTGGTAAGGTTACTAAGTCAGAAGAGACTTACCATATCGGGTATCCAAGAATCTTGCGAAAAGGCCTCGAGTCCAACGTGCATGAATGCATTTATTGCGTCAACAACCTGAGAGAAATGGCCTGGCGGACTCTCATACCTACTATACAACGTCTAAATTCGCTTATTCGGTTGTTTTTTTTTCGATGAATGTACCTGAATTAGCCATGCCATCTTCTTTGCTGAGTAGAGGGATTTTTCCCTTATTTGACAAATGTATGCTGAGTAGTGTTGAATTCGTTGAGGCTGCGTGAATTCCTCAGCAAAACCATGGTGGCCGTGAAAGCAAAGCATCTGAATGACATCCAAGACGTAGATTTGATTCCGCTTTGGCTTGTCAGTACATTCATATAATGTGCGTAGCAAAGAGTCAACTTGTTCGTTGATGGGAAGAAATCCGGAAATTGATGCCTCCCGGAGACTGGAAAAGGTGAAAATTCTCTCAGAAGCAGAATTTGATGAAACTTGTTGAACTGCAATCGGACAAAAAATGGATTAATTGTTGGTGCCTAGGCATCAGTGCGGATATTAACAAGAGGGTGAACTAAAGACCACAAGCTAAGACAACCAATGTCTCATTCCGCTCGCTTTCTTCGGCCGCGCTGAATTAACATGCAACTAATTTTGAAAAGGCTCAATTGACAAAAAATACGCGCTTCGAGTAGATGAGGAAGACAAAATAAACACGCCACCCACAATCTCCTCAGGAACAAAATACGGAACCGATCGTAGGTCTCGTTGGATTGACAAGCCATTCTAAGCTGAGCGTCAGTTAGTTGTGTATTTCGAGGCCAGCGCTTGAGTTAACAAGAAAAAAAACCAAAATTTTGTTTTACAAACTAGGGCGGTTGCCAAGTTTGCATCGGCTGTATTCGCCTCAGATAAACAGCTCTTCTGATGCATTCAAAATAGCATTGCTAGATAGAGCCGCATGACGTGAGCAAGAGTCAGCTAGAAAGGCTCAGATTTGTGTTTCAACGATCAATTCTTTGACCAAGAACTTATAACAGCAATGTATAACGTTTGTATTTGCAACCGTCAATAATTAGAATTAAGCTAACAATTCAACCCAAAAAAACATGAATAGGAAAAAAACAACACGTCCACTCGCATATTAGGTTTGTTATGTCATTATCGGTTTAGACATGGCATCATTTGTGGCTTGATTCATAAACAAAATTCTGGGTTTGTGAGGGCAATATACATCCACGTCACGGAAAATCAAGCCTATACGTTAGTACTCGGCAGAAACGAACGGTGGGAAACGGTCCAAAGCCAAAATCTAATTATCAGCAGATTGGATTGATAATTAACAAAAAAGCCGAAGGTAAATGCGACAACAGATGGAACACACCGAAATCTTGTAGTAAAAAGTTGTATTAGCAAACATTTTCCTTAAAAGAACACTCAAACTTACGAAGATCATCAAATCTAATGGGCTTACTCCTGCCGCCAAAAGGGAAAAATGAAATCATAACTATAATATTAAGCAATCCACAAAAGGATTAACTGGGGTAAAACAAGAACGCGGAAGTATCGAAATAATTGTCTCTAATTATTAAATATAAATATTTCGATGTCTTTAAATCATGTAATTTTGCCAAGGAATTATTTTTTTAATGGCTGAAATATAATATGACTGGTTTTCATACCTATAAATTTAGAAGGCTTCATTTTAGGAGTGAAATTTAATCGCGCAAAGTTATTAAAAAATTAGCAGTTCTCTGCCTTTGAATCTTACAAAATAAATATATACCGCATATCATTTTTATCAAGAACCTTCATCCTGAACATTTGGCAAGTATCCGCTGCATTTACCTGACCCATTGGGAGGAATCTGTGAAATATGGGTGACAAAGTTAGATTTTGGCCTTCGAGTCCATAAAACCCCTGATAAGTACTTCAAAGCCTAATTATAAAAAATGCCTACTACAAGTCATTACTTCTAGGATCAAATCAATCAGATTCAGTGCAACCAAAAGTCGTGATCTAACTTATTTATGTTTTATCGAAACAGGCCAAAGGAAACACCATTTTTCTACAATTTAAGGAGAAGCCGTTTAAAGGGAGTTGAGTAGACTAAAGATGCCTTGGTGAGAGTCATTTAACTGAATGCCTAGCTCAGAACGCTAATTTGCTTTATTCTTCCTGGGATGGTTATTTTGAAATAAAATGACGTTTGTTTTAATGTTGAGTTGGATACATATGGAGAGTCTAATTTACAACAGTGTGCATGTATAAGCACTAGACATTGTTTTGATCTTAACTCTATGTTACAAAACGATAAATGGGATTGACGTTGGGTTGCCAGAACACTTCTGAAATTGCCATCTACCGAATAAGTCTTGGAAATGGAAGGGTTTCTTGAACATGATAAAGTCTGCAGATGCCCTAAACAAAATTATATTCTACCTAGATTTAGGGAACAAGAAAATTAAGTTAGGCACTTGGAACTTACAAAAAGGATTAGTGTTAAAACTTTGCCAATAAATTGGAATTTTGAGTAATCTTCTATTGGTTGCTTAGTCAGTCTTTCTTAATGAAGTAGTTTTCGCAGGTATAAATTTCAAGGATACTGCGGTTAGTTAAATGTACATCCTGACACATTTAAGAGCAATATTGAATGGTTACCAACCATAACCAATGACTTAAAAAGATAGTGGGTTAATCAAGGTCTAAAATTTAAAAAACTAAACCTTTTCTTAATTTGATTTGGTTTGCATTTGAAATGAAAAACAGCGAAGTCCAACCTGAATAAAAAAAATTACATACTTGTAGCGGAAGTGAAACACGAAATGCTCTGTTGTACTTTGCCATTTTTCCCCTTGAGCTGGAATTTGCCTGTGCTCGAAACCAGAAAATCTCTAGGGCCAAAAATTTAATTCAACATTTTCGAATAATATTGCTAAAGTAAAAAAGACAGACTAGCGTCAACTTATTAATATAAGTATTCCATTGTTAAAGAAAGTTGTAAACAATGTGCTATTTAAGCGTTTTCTAAGGGATCCAATGTTCGCTAAAGCCGAGTACAATTATAAAGGTAGAAAAGTGGTATTTAAGCAGTTCCTCGGTTCAGTGGAATTTGTAATTGGGGGTGTAACTATAACTTTCATTTGGTGACGTTCAAAAACTTTATTTAAAACCGAGTTTCCTAGTTCGAAATTATTTTTATGTTGCTACACAGCAGCAAACTAACAATTCAAGAATTTTGGATTATGATTAATGAAACTTTAATTTACATTGGCTGCATAATTCAGACATGTTCTACATGGTATGTCTGGAAAAAAACTATGTTGAGGGCCACGAAATGCTGTCTTGAACGACACCGGGGCCACTGTTACAATCTGCGTCAAATACGCTACCCTGTGTTTCCGTGAAAATAAAGACCGGAATGGAGGAAGCGCAACCTTATATTAGACCGCTCAACTAAATTGTGTCGTGTAAAATTGCGGTTGAGTGGTCATGTACATAATTAAACACAGGTGTCAATGAGGCCACATGACAAAAAAGGGTGGTAATAGTGGTACATACAAGGGGGTTAATGGACCAGCGGCCTCATGTGACTGGCGGGCAGGTCGTGAGAATGGGGGACGTGTGCCGGAAACTGCGAGGACTGGGTTATTGGACCTGAATCAACACGAATCCCTACATCTGCGTATATATAAACGACACTACAACAGAACGCACAATACAATTTTTGGAAAATGTCACAGAAGCTAAATTTTTGCAAAAATAATCGATTTGATTGTTTTACATTGCTATCATTAAGGTTGAGTTAGCGGTTTGCCACGAACCGCGCTGTTTGAATCATGTAAATTCTTTTTGCAGTTTGACATTATAATTGTTATAAAATGATCTTAAAATATAAGTAAAAATGTTACTTTTTGTCCCAACATTTTAAGGCTTGGTAGTTATATTAAATCTGTACGCGGTACAAAGCAATGCGCTTTTTAAGCGTGTTTCGCGGGATTTTCTCTGATCAGCATTCCTGGAATTTTTTAAAGCAGGATAAAGTGAAGTCTGATTGCTGAACATAACCTTTTAATTTTTTTCAAATGTATTATTATTCGTAGTATTTTTGCTCTTTCACTATTTGACTGGATTTTTATTTAGTATTTTTTTTGCCATAGCGATGATATTTATTCGACTCGATATCCGCCTTTTAATAATTTATATACTTTTAATTTCGTTGGGAAGTAAGAATTTTTGAATATCTGATAACTACTCTTATGCCATAGACGAGCCGATGCCCCTAATTTATTTTGTGAATCGTTCACACCATGTGCTTATATTTGACCATTTACTTGCGTCTATTAAGAATCCATAATATTTATTTGCTGCTGTGGGGTATATTTAATATTTTGAACTGGCCTACAAATTTGAACAGAAATAACAAATAAGGTCCAAAGGCCCAGATTTCATTTAACGCAATGGGTTTTTTTCGTGTGAATTGCGTTGAACACTAAACTTACAATTTTAGAATATTCGGGTTTACGATAAGAATTTTTTTGCATCACTTGATATGATAAAACCTTATACTGTCCTCAACCTGGCAACTTCGGTTAAGGATGTTTTTTCGCAAAGTTTTGTTTGGATAACTCAAAGGTTCAATTTTTGTCTAAATCTATCATTTGGCTGTTGTGTATTTAAGCGTTTTGCCAGCTGCATCTTCTTACCTGTCTTGTGCTTGAAATGCCTACACAAATAACTGGGTCTCGTGGTACACCTGTGTGGATACCTCATCCTGAACTTGCATGGCGACCGGCTGTGCTGCTGGACGATCCATCTGCAGATAAACCTGTTCTTGTACAGTGGTTTGATACCAAGCAAACCGATGTTATCGATTTGGACAAAATTTGCAATGGGGCTTCTCCCCCACTCAGAAATTTGTCCGACTCTATCCAGCAGGCTGATTTAGCCAGTCTTCCTGTTCTTAATGAACCAGAAGGTAAATTTGTTGTTGGATGACAGAACTATCAACTCTGACCATTTTGTCGATCGATTATCCCTAATAATTAGCTTTTTTATGATTTCCATTGTGCAAACAATACACGAACAATTTCGTGGCTTCAACAGTGCATTTTGATTGACGGCAATAAAAAACCGAAAGCGACTTTAATTCTGTCTTTTTTTAGATAATGCTAGTTTACTTTTCAACGAATATATACTCCAAAAACATATTTCAAAATTAGAATTTGAGGGCTTACATTCCTAACCTCACAAAGGCAGTTTTGGTGTCAAAAGTGATGTCTAACAGGCGTGCAGGCACTTACAAATATAAAAGTGCTAAACGTTTGTGTTGCATTAGACTCTAACCCGAAAAACACTTTGTTGACTTTGAATTTAATCGAGGATATGCACTATGAATTTCTCATAATTATTACTCAGGTGCCTCATAGCAATTTTACACATAGAGTACGGTGTCACTGCGTGATTGCTGTGTGCCAGCTCCTGACCACAAATTGTGTCTTCATTGTCCGCGAACTGTCAAGTCAGCACTATCCTCAGTTGGCATCAGGTTTCCTTATCCATTAAATATGCCATTTCTATTCGTCACCAAGGTGAAATTTTAAATCTCAAATTATGAAATATTGACCCGTTTTTTGTGACCTTCTAGTGCTCAACAACTTGAAACTGCGGTTCTGTAACCAGCACGAAATCTACACCTACTGTGGTACGTATTTACATCTAAAGTTTGCAAGCTAAGATTTTTCGGCAGCTTCAATTAAGCAGTCAGGTTTTAGCAAATTTCAAGCATTTTTGATCATTCGTCCAACTGTTACCAAGTAATTACAGTGTTCTGTTCTGTGTTTAATTGGCCCTTTCTCATATCATTCTTTGCATCAAGCCTGTGCTAAACGAAAGCAAACGATTAATGTGTCCACAAAATTGCCTAATAATCTAAAAGTCTTGTCTTCCTAATACTGCATCCCTAGACTGACTTGTTTTGTTTTAATTTAAACAACCTCATAGATTTTCATTCAAAAACCACGTAATTTACTGAGCGCTCTAAAGTGATTGCGCATTGCATACACGCGTTTGCTCATTCACACCAAATCTTCGCGCTCCATGATAGTCATAAGCACCTAAGCAAACAGAAAATGCTTAATTTTGACGAAGATGAAGTTTGAATCGTAATACATCACACCTTGCTCCGGAATTACGGATCCATGCGCTGTTACGAGTATGACAAAGTGCGCGAGCATTGAGCAGATCGATAAAAAGAAATCTCGGTAAAGAATGCTTACGAAACCTGGTTTAAACAAGCTTGTGGAGCACCTATTACACTTGGTCGGTTCCACGAGGTGGCACGGGGATATTTAAAGGTGGCTGGAGGTGCTTGTTTATCGCGCAGATGCCGTCACACCTGATTGCAACTCACCCCGGTTTTTTATGCACAACTCGGTACTCCATGTATTGCCACTAACGTACACATGACGCAGATTCACAAGCGCTTCCTCCTAGACACTTTGCCAAAAATGACCAACGTGTCATTCTCTAGCCCAAAATCCGTATTAGTTATCGCGCAGCTTTTAATAACTGTGAGATTTCGATCGTAAACACTGACGCTACCGACACCGTGCTTTGTTTGAACGTTTAGACAACTAAAAAGGCAGGTTTTTTAAATTGATGCCGTTTGGCACGAAGGATTAGGTTTAAACAAATCTTTCTTAAGTATTTCTGGAAGGAACCACACTTTTCACCTTCTAGGACTGCTTCTAATAGCCCTGAATCCCTACAAGGACTTGCCTATTTATGGAAAAGAGTTCATGGAAGCCTACAACCAGAACAGTCTTGACAGCGAGGCTCGACGTGACCCCCACATCTTCGCAATCGCTGATGAGGCTCTTACTCGTTTAAAGCAGTAAGTAGTATCGCCTTTTGCATTGGAAAGTAAACTAAATTTTCAAGGAAGCACATTCCACGCGTTTGCGCGGTGTAATGAAATTGCTGCCATCTTGATGGAGTTTTTAAATGCAAATATTGGTTGTCTCTTTGGATCTAATCAGAGGCATAAATTTGTTTGAATTTAGACAGTGGCGGAAAAAATGGCCGCCGAGACAACCAATCCGATGCCATTTTGTTGACAACAACTGAGCCCGTTTGAAATAGCAACTTTTACCATTTAATTGTGATTTTTTAAAGACTGAATCAGAACCAATCAATCATAATCTCCGGCGAATCTGGCGCGGGTAAAACGGTTTCCGCGAATTGCGTTCTGCAGTACTTTGCAACAATTGCGGGTGCACGGTGTGCCGATATGGTGACCTTGAAAGACACCGTTGCCATGCACACCAAGGTCCTTGCGAGCTCGCCGCTCTTGGAGGCCTTTGGCAACGCCCGAACAGTCCGCAACGACAACAGCAGTCGGTTCGGGAAATTCCTCGAAGTGGGCTTCAGTTCGAGGCATCGTGTTGTTCAGGCGCACATGAGGACGTACCTCTTGGAGAAATCTCGGGTCGTTTTTCAGGTGCGCTGAACACATTTAGCCTCCAAGGCACATCAAGCGTAATTCCACTCCATTAACCTACATAATCACATCAATAGCTAACCACTTGTTCATGCCAACTGTTGCCAGATTCGCATCACGGTTCATGACATCATTTAAACCACCGCCTTGTGGCTATTATTCCATTCACTAAAACAAACATTTCAATATTGGAAAATAGTGTTAAAGAGCCACAAGTATATGCTGTACAATAAATCGATATCCCCAAACTGCGTTTCAGCTAAGACCATTTTTTCCACAAAAAAGTTATTGACAAATTATCCTGTATTTTGATGTCGCTAGAACCACAGAAATGGTACTCTGGCAACTCGGCAAACGAACGAAACTGCAGTGCACAAACAGCGACACGAGTTAGAATTGTGTGCAAAAATACCAAAACCAGGAACAAAAGTGTGATTTCTAGGTTGTGATTTTAAACTTTGTGGGTTACAGGTCACTTCCTCAAGGCACTTCTTGGTTTTTTTTGTGTCTGTGGCGTGTTGTGCGCTTGTAGGGTCCACAGGAGCGCAACTACCACATCTTCTACCAGCTCCTGGCCGCATCAGAGGACCCATCGTTGAGACAAAACACCGCCTTTCTCGAAGAATTAGCTCTAGCTCCGGGTTCAGTGGGGCTCCAGAACGGTGAAATCGAACCTCCAGCCGACTTTCATTATGCTCACAGAGAGCACTGTAAAAGTGTGAAGGGAATCGATGATTTGGCGGGCTTCTCCACGACCCTCGAATCCATGCGGAATCTGGGTATGGCAATTTAACTCTGCAGCAACCAATAACAGCTTCCGGCTTTTTTCCTCAAATTGTCAGCCAATGAAAACCGGCCAACATTGTTAATTTAACCTCAACCCTTCTCGTTGATAGATTTCTCCGATGAAGAAGTGAGGGCTGCTTTTGTGCTCGTGGCAGCTACCCTACACCTGGGAAATGTCACGTTTACTGACACTGCGAGGGACGGCTCTCAATTGTCTGTAAGCCCAGTCTTGATTTTGTGCAGGTGTCCACGCACCATCTTTCCTGTAATGATGCTGAAATCGCAGTGAGTAGTATTTGTTTGCAACCCTATTGATCGGGAACAAAGCGGAACTATTGGAGTGACGACACGGCAATTTTGACCCAGCCTTTCATTCATGTGGGAGTGCAAAAATGTGTGTTGGTACATGTGCACAAATGCGAGAGGTGCATGCTCATGAAGCAGGCGACCTTGAATGAGATTAATGTGAAATTCGAACGAGCCAATAGGAATCGAATGGTCATTTTGAGGCTTCTGAACACACCAAATACCAAATACAACTCCGATATGATGCCAACATCATCATCTAGTTCGACCTAGCACGGGTTTTGCAGAGTTCAGTATTAAACCAAATAATATTCAACGAAATTCGGTCCATCGTTTAAATATTTCAACTAGTGGATATTCACAGACGGAGTTCTTGTTCCCGTCTACACAGCGGTGTGGGGAGTCGACAAATAGCACAGGGTTTTGTACGATCGAAGAGAGGGGTCAAAGAATGAACTAGAGAGTAGGAATGACACGGTGGTTTTACTTTGAGATAACATTACTGACCTCCACTATGTCAACAATCTTCCATTCTGTGCCTAGCCTTCTGGCACCAGAGCCCTTTCTGCTGTGCTGCGTCTGTTGGAAAGGGATTTCGATGCAAACGCAGTCAACTCGGCGGGTAGCTGTCTCTGCAACCGGATAATTCACACCGTCGAGGGGCAACTAGTCAAGCCCCTCAGCGTTTCCGAGGCAACCAACGCCAGAGACGCCCTCGCCAAGTACTTCTACCAGGTCCTCTTTGAGTGGGTTGTTGTCAAGTGCAACGCGGCCCTGGAGACAAAGCTGCCACCGAGGGCTTCAATACGGCGAAAGGTAGGAAATCAAAAAATTAGAATTACCAGATATTTTTCTACATATGTTTTCTTGCGTTATATATATAATGGTCTCCGGGCTACCTTTCACGTCCCCATGACCTTGAAATAGAAAAAAATTGATTGGACCACTCGAGTTTCACTGTGAACCAAACCGCTTAAAATAAAACACTGATTTTTCGCAGAAATTAAATCGCTATCTAGCTTACTTGACTTCATCCACTTTTAATTTTTAATGAATACATATGATTTTGTCATCACTTAAAGCAAATTGCAATGTCTGATGGGACTGTTTTAAACAAAACATTATATTATTCTCAGGACAAACTTTCGGAAATTGAGAACTGAAAAAAAAAATATTTGTTTGCTGATTATGTCGATTTTTGTTTGGATGCTTTGAGAACCAATCTGCCAGCTAAGCAAAATTAAAACAATTTATTTTTCAGTCAATCGAGCTTTTCGTTACGCGCATTTTTAAATCCTGACGATCTCCGTACTAACAATAAAGCACAACTTCATGTTGAATTAAGAAACCAACGGAAGTCTTCTTGTGTCGTTGAGGTGGTTTCTCAATTCGATTGCAATAGTAATTTAATAGAACCAGTTCTCTTGGCGCAATTTTTTTGCTTCTCCGTTTTGTTTTGCATAGTTACGAAAGTGAACTGTTGAACCAGGTCCAGAATATTTAATGAATTTTAAACCGCGAAAGATGCTTTTAAAGTAGTCTTTGAATTGCATTTGAAACGCACCGATTCTTACTACAATATCGGGACAATTTAGGCAGTGTGTAGACGGACTGCTTCACTCACCCAGTTAGAGTAACGTCTAGCGGCAGCAGCCTAATTCACGACAGTTGCATAAATATAGAAAGTGCGTTCTTACGATTCACGCCCACCTTGCTGAGTTGATTGGGTTTTGTGTGTTCGTTGTCAGGAGCTCTCAACTCCCCGCAACTTCATTGGAGTCCTCGATATCTACGGCTTTGAGAGCTTCGAAGTGAACAGCTTCGAGCAGTTTTGCATTAACTACGCCAATGAGAAATTGCAGCAGCGATTTATCACGGTAAGCAAGAGTTTTCCAACTATGGCAATGCCTTAATCACATTTGTCTAGATGGTCAGTGTGGAACTGTGGAACTACCTGGTTAACTTATATTCCATACTCCGTTGGCGTCTGTAAATGGCGTTCTAGGCAGGTGTCATTCGCTTTAGTCAAACAAGTCGTGCGCTTAGCTGTTGGTCAACTGTGAGACGTCGTGAATGCTAAGATTTGAGGCAGGATGGATACATTCCTTCACAACGTGAGTAGACGTTTTTTGGATGTTTTTCAGCATGTGTTCAAGATGGAACAAGAGGAGTACGTTCGCGAGGGCCTGGAATGGGCCTTTGTGGATTACTACGACAATGCACCGTGCATTGAACTGCTGGAAGGCGATATGGGCATCATCGCATTACTCAACGACGAGTGCAAGGTAACACATTTCCTGAAACCACAGTTTCCTTTAAGTTGTCAGTTGTACCAGCAGGCCAAGCGTGAGTTTGTGTTCAAGTGCCATCACCAATAGAGACTGCGGTCTTCAGTTTAAGGCACTCCCCCACGTTATCTTCCCAGTCGCTCTTTTTCCACCACTTGAGGTGATCGGGATATAACACACTTGACCTTTGACCTGTGCCTGGAAGAACAAACAGGCTTAGAGGTCATTTTAAAACCAGAGTTTTTGTTCTAAGATGCCGAAACCACAAGACAAAAATTGGCTAGCGCGTCTGTGCCAGGAGCACTTGGGCAGAAGTCGCGATTTCAGCCAATCGAAAATGTGGACCAGGGAGCGTTTTACCATCCAACACTTCTCTGAACAAGTGGAATACACTGTGGAGGGCTTCGTGGAGAAGAACGCTGATCGTATTATCCCTGAACACGCAGCTCTCCTTGCAGCTACTAAGGTAAGCACACGCTTCAACACACCAAATTTGTGATCTTATACTCATTCCATTATTTCCCGTCATCGAAGAATTCATCCAGTCGCACAAGTTGGGCTGGAATGCCATGGTAGCGAATGCACATTTGGGTTAATAGTGTATTTTTGCCTTTTTTTCCATTGAGAACCCAATAATTAAGCAAATGGTCGAAAGGTTCACCTCCACCAATGCCATTTCAGTGGGACGCCAAGGATTGCTTACTAAGCCGACCGTTGTTACTCAGGTAAGACGCAGTTACGATAATCGATTTGTTTAAATCGACTAAAAATTCACATGCGCGCCATCGATTTTTTTCCGGGATTACTGCTCAGTTCAGTAAACAAATTTTTTGATGCAACTCGTACAATGCAAGTAGTATAGACCTGTGGAGAGACAGTTAAGCCCGATTTTTAGAAATGAATATCGTACCTGCCGGACATTATTACCCGGATTTACTGTCGTGGGAGAGAGAGAGATCACTTGTTGAATACATCCGCATTCATTGGCTGATTGCAGCTAAGGTAAAAAGCGATTGGCTAAATTTTTGCGAAAACTTTATCCGCCTGAATTGAACGCCTTAGACAAATACTAGGATTTTGTTAAAGAAAGTATTAACATCGTCATGTTTTGATCTACCTAGTTCTCAGCTTCCTTGAAGGCCTTGTTGGAAACCCTTGATAAGACAACAGTTCATTACATCCGCTGCATCAAGCCCAACGACCAAAAAGCACCATTCACGTAAATCAGGTTCAGTCATGATAGTTACAACAGCCACCGTGCCAGCACTTGTTGATAGACGTGCTTCTTGTCTTTCATTGGCAGGTTTAGTCCCCAAAGAACAATCCAACAACTCAGAGCATGTGGAGTTCTACAAACTATAAAAATCAGCGCTGCTGGTTACCCCTCAAGGTATGTCAATTGGTCATCGTCGAAATTGTGCGCCTATTGGTCGAGAGACCCCGAGATTACTGGGTAACGATAGGTGCTAAACAGGCGGAACTACAGTTTTATAAAGATGGGATGTAAGAGGCATTGCTTAATGCTATAATGTACGTTTCAGGTGGACATACGAGGATTTTGTGAGTCGATACTGGCAGTTATGTCCCGGGAAAAACACCCTCAAGGAGGATGTCTTTAAAGTGTCTGAGAAAATTCTCACCCAAAACATCAAGGTAGTCGTGTTTTCGTTCCCTCAAGGTCGTCTGATTTGAATTTGCACCAAGCGTGTGCACAATTAAAACAGCAATGTTTGCATCAAAGCCAAATTCGATGTAAAAACTGTTTGCAACTCAACCTATGATGAGTCAAAAATTTTATTAACATCACATTCAGACGTTGAATACGGTAACACTGATCTTGTTTTAATTACTGTCGTCGAAGTAAAACAATATGAAAAATCGATGAAAGCCAAGCAGACACTGATTCAGCGCCATGCAAAATTAGGGAGAAAATCCGTAGACAGGAAAAAAATACGATAGTAATGCAGCAAAAGGCCTTCAAAATGTTGGTTCGGGAGTTGTAAACTAAGGTAGCACTATGTTCCGATATTTCCTCGAACAAGGTTTCATTGTAAAATGAAATATCCGTAGACTGAATGTGCTGTTACTGTGGTGTGGGAGAAGGAGTTTGCAGTCTGGTCCATTTACCACTACTAGCAAGTCTAGTCCACGAAGATGTCTGTCGCTAGGCGCTGGAAGCTGAATGGAACGCTGGACATCTCAATTCAAATCGATAAGGCCAGAATTCCACCGAGGCGGTAAGTACGAGCGTTGGCGTCTCTCGAATGTAGAGATGTTTCTGCTGAAGACAGCGACAGCGTTACGGTGCAGATTTATCGAAGCCAACTTTCATGCATTGATGGTGCATTGCGTCACGTGGTACCAATGTCAGGTACTTCTGCAAACACCTTCAACCAAGCTGATTCCTGGGATTCAACGCTACGTAGAACCGTGTTCAACACGACAGTCCGACGAATGCTGGCCAACTTATGGACGACTCAATGTGTCTAGGTACACACTCAGCAGGTCAGGAGGACATGGTGGTCAGAGAAAAAGTCGTGAATTTCCACAACATTCTTTCTTCTGACGTATTTCTGAGGTCGATGAAGACCACAGTACAAAAAGAAGTGATAATGGTCGATTTTTCTTATTTATTTGTCCGGATTTTGTTTTAGCAAAATAGACAACAAATGGGAACTTAGATTCGTATCTCTCGGCCAGCACAATAAAAGCACCACAATTAACCCTTTTGGTAAAAATTGAACGAAGGAGTTCACCTGTCTTTTTAATGCTGTTTCCTACCACCCTAGAACTCCGACCAATACCGTCTGGGTAGGACGAAGATATTCTTCGGGAACGGTGTTCTCGCCCACCTTGAGCGCCTACGCAGTTCCAAGATTGTGGCCTCAGCGACGATCATCCAAAAGAATGCCCGAGGTTGGCTTGCGAGACAGCGCTATTGCAGAATCCGGCGTCACCTCGTTATGGTGCAGGCAGCTGCTCGTCAGTGGTTAGCCAAGGCTCGTGTTCGACAGCTGCAGGAACAGAAGGCAAAGAGGTATCAGGTGTCAAGTTGCTTTCTTATTGAACTTCGCGAAATTTCACGAAGTTGATCCTATTTCAAATGAACAATAGGGAAAGTGGACGGGAAACTCTACAACTGATTACTAGAACTAAGTCAAATATGCTTAGAACCGTTATTCCACATTGCTGAATGTAGACACCGAGAATATCAATACAAGGCCACTTTCCATGGAGATGATTTACTAATTTTTGGGCGAAACCCTGACCTATTTAGGAATTTGAGCCCTTAAACCATGGTATTAGATAGATCATCCCAGAAGTTTTAAGCAAAATGGATAGTCGGAACTGTTGTATACTACTAGTAGTGAGTCTGTGGGTCAACTAGACGATTGTTGTGCAACTAAGTTGGGTTCTTTATCCTCTTTTTAGCAATTTCACTCAAGCATCCGTTGGAAAAGACGTAAGCGTCTAGCTTAAGCACACACATACAACCTCATCGTTCCCCCATGTTCCATTAGATGCCCTTTGGGTGTTCTTGTTTTAATAGGCAAAGGACCATACCTGGACATTTAGTTTACTTCGAAGGCACAAAAGTCCTCACTCGGAGACGACCTTGACACGAAAACGCGCCAAGTCAAAAGAGGCGCTGCAAACCACCATTGGGGATCTACAATCGCAGCTCACTGAGCGCGAAAATGAAATCGCCGCCAAGGACTCGCAGATCGCAGCTCTACTAGAGGTCTGGCAATATCTGCCTTATCGATTTCTGTAATTGCTCCAGGTCAACTAAATGTTGGGTACTAATTCTTATTCTTCTTCTTTTGTGGATTAAACACAGAAACAGGAACAACTGCAGGCGGAAATAGCGGCCAAAGGTAAGTGCTGACTCAAAACACTACCCATTCGTGGAGGGGTGTGGCTGTGACTGCAAATAACACACTTGTTTGTGCGCTAGCCAATCGCCAGAAGAACAAGAAGCGTGTGAAAAAGGACAGTGATGTGTACGAGGAGGTGAATTATCGTCCTAGATCCAAGCAACTCCGCAATTTGCACAAAGTCCACGCCAATGGCCTCCTGATGAATGACTCATCTGAGGATGGATCCAGTGGGATACACCAGGTCGAGGTATGGGGGCTTTAATACATTTAAACAAACTTTTGGAGATGAGAACTGTGAATAGGATAATTACCGTCCCTGATAAATGCACTACGTGAGCCAGATTCTGCCGAAATTGATCATTTTCAGTACAGTAGGTGGAATTGAAATCGAATTGACATCTTGAACTTCTGCTTATCGACGTGTCAGTGGGGATAAATCTGTGACTCAGTTTGATCGACTTTCACAAAATTAAAAAGTATATTCCCGATGCAGCGTTCGAATTCTTAGTGTCAAGCGGGATCTGTAAGTGTACAAGTGCCAAATCTCAAACTGACTAACCTTGATAATGCCAATCAGGTCTTTATTTTGGGGAGAAAAGTGAAATTAAACTGAACCGCCAATTCCTCACGGTCGAAATAACCATTACACGAGCTAAATAATGATATCGCAATGTACGTAGTGGCATAGTTAAGCATGTGTTCGTGGTGACTACTTCTCCAAACGACAATCGAATTGCGTAATCCAGGGACTGCGAGGTAGGCAACCAAAAGGATGGTTTCGTTAAAATGTATGATTCACATACTTTTTACCGCCACACAGCTTGTAATTAGCACGCGCTGAAATTAAAGTGGGCTTAATCATTCCGTTGCGGCAGATTTTAATTGCGTTAATATTATGACGATAAATAGAGTAAACAGTAAATGCAGACATCAAATACAGTCACATGCCCCCATTGTTGACTTTGAATCGCGTTCCAACAAAACGAGTAAAGTAAAACAAGAGGTTTTACATAAATAAGACGTCAAATACTTCACGGCTCTACATAAATTACACTCAATAATCATATTCACACCTCTATGCTGCAGTTTCGACTAATACCGTAGTGAATTTCGTCAAGTCTGTTCATTGTGTAGACTACATCACCGCCAGAGTCGGCTTCAGACGTGCTGCTCGAATTGCAAAGACGATGCGCCATATTGGACACGGAGAAGGAAGAACTGTATCGGAGACTGGAGACGTACCAGGAAAATTACGCGATTGCGCAAACCCGACATCTGGAGGATCAGAGTGCGTTCAATTTTGGCCGAAATCTTAAAAAAATGGCTAATTCTTTATTTTGGCACGTTGCAGTTGTAAAATCCACGTTAAGGCCAAGTTATTGGTTGCTGTTAGATGCCGATTAAAACAAGCCATAATTATCGATTAGTCAAATTTAAAAAAAATTGATTTATAATTTCAGCGTGTTAAAAAATAGTTCACTGCACTTTAGAGTAAAACGATTTCTTCCTACAAAGTGCCTATTAAAACAAGAGATAATTATCGATTAGTTGTTCGGCTTTCTAGAACACAGTACTGCAAACCAGTCAAGTATTTAGTTACACACTGGGCTCGAGGTTAGGTAACCAAGGCACTCATCGTTTTAAAATTTGTCGCGTCAACATTGAATGCAAAGGGCACTGGATCGAAGATAATCGCAAACGTAGCACTCTAATTTTGAAGATAAAACTTGACTCCCACATTTGTTTAAATTGGGCTTGAATTTGGCGGGTTTCTCGTCAACGACTAACCGACCTTTGGCACATTTGTGCTCCACTTTGCTAGTCAAAACGTGTGCACATGGCACCACATGGTTTGCGCTGAGTAAACGCTTGACTAAGTACCAGTGCCACTTATTAGAGCATCATCTAGGTCACGTGAAACCACGGCAAAGCGTGAAATTAGTTTCCGCTTAGGTATTTGGCGTTTTAAAATGGTTTTACTAATAGAATGCTTTGCGAATTATGACAGTGACTACTGATAGCTTGAATTGACCCAGGTCTGAGCTCAGTGATGAACTATTAAAACAAATTTTATCCGTGGAATCAAAAAAACAAAATCACATTGAGTGGCATTTTTCGTATGTGCCAATGAAATGGGATGAGATGAAACAAAGCTGTTGACCAATCAAAAACCGATGTTTTGATTTCATCGGTATTTCGTTAAGTTTACAAGCAATTACAGTTTGATTGAAATTCGCTGCAATTGCGATGCTACGCAATCCATCATTTACTTCCAGCTTCAAGACCTGGTACAACAACATCCAGAAAGCGGACCAATTATGCCTCAGAAGACAGGCTTTTGGGAGCTCGTGACTGGCGGACATGGTCGATAATGCAAAATGCTTCCTGTAGTCATGAAATCATGGAGTTAACTTTGCATAAACCGATCTCTGTTATTGGCCTTTCGATTAATAAGGTGTTCTACAAGTATTGATTTTTTTGCAGACGCTCCATTACACGAAATTAGCATTTTCCTTTCATCAAACCTCACTTTGCACACCATGACTCATGCCAGTTTTCACAGACCCGCTATTTTGTATTCTCCACGGTGGCTTCATCTGTTACTTCTCACATACCAGTGGTTAACCAATCGCAAATCAATGATTTCGGTGTCGCCGCTGTTCTGCATTTTAGCACACTGGTCTTCGATTTGGTCTATTCCGCTTTCTAACCTTGCAGAGTCGATTCGTCGGCTTGAGGAGTGGATTGAGAGCCAGAATCGTCAGAGAGCAGCCAACCGCACTACCGAGGTTCAAACAGACAAAGATGACGTCGCGAATCTTGAGAGTATTCTCCAAATTCAACGTGAAGCTAGCAGGTGTGGCGTGAGTAGAGTAGATTAGTCACGTGATAATGCTTTTGAGAAGACTACTACACTGGACACCAGTTTTAGAAGTGTGAAACAGGTGGTCAGAATTTCAGTGGATTCAGTCAGCCACCTTCATCTTGATTATACCTGATCCCGAATGAGCACTTTAAGGCAAATGACCTTGGCCGAATCCTTCTTACATATCCATCAAGTCGACGTGTGGATGCCCCTTCAAAACAACCAATCCTTTCACCTTTTCACCATTGATACAAACAATGCATTCACATGATTGACCACGACGGCTTATCCCAGTTTAATTAACCTTGCCAATCGCACACGTTTGCGTGCAGAGTTTAAAAATAATAATATACAAACACAAAATGAATGACAGCATGGACCACCATGGTGAAACAGTTTCTGACAGTTGCGTTCGTGGAAGTATTCAAGAAGTTGTCCAGGTGGGGGCATTTTATGGGGCTCCACCCATGGTCAGATCAATGAGAAGCAGTAAAATATTGATTTATTGGCTCTGGCAGCTGTGGAAGGTCAGTTCTGAGCAAAAGTGTCGAACTAATGTGATTAAGATTTGTTTTTTTTCTTCAAATTTTTGAGCCTTGTTTTAATTTTGCTTGATAATGTTGCTGATGTTGTTATTGTTTGAATAGACGCCTGCAGGTCGAGGTGGAGATGCTTGGCGTGGAAAAGTCTCAGCTACGATCAGCGG